GTTCTTGAAGATTGTCTTTTTGTGTCCCTTGGGCTTTAGACGAGGCCAGAATGCAAATTTAAGTAAGAAGGTGATATGATTAATTTGGGAAAATCTTATGTTTACAGGTGGGTGCCAACAGGCAGCTCTGTGACACTTGTAGTGCAAAGTCAGCAGATGGTGACACAGCCAAACTGTGGTAACACGACTGAGATGGCCTGGGAGCAGTGCACTGGCAGGCAGCAACAGCTGTGGGGCAGCTCAGAACTTTGACAGAGGCTCTGTGCAATGCTGGGATGCTAGGAAGAGCTCAGTTGATAGTTCAGTGGCATTCTAGATTCAGAAATGACAGAGATTATTTTGAAGTTGCAGGAGAAAAAGGTTTTGCAGTAGTAGTGCAAGAGGAGAGTAAAGCAGCAGAGCTGGTTTTAGAGTGGCAGAACAGAGCAGGTGATTCCTAGTTCTAATTGCAATAGTGCTAGTTAATACTATTAATTTCTATTTTTCTATGCTCTTCAGGATAAATTTTAAAAGGCTGCAAGCTTTAGAAATACATCTGTAAACTTATATTTGCAAATCTCTTAGATATTTCTCAAATATTATTTGCTCATAGGATTTTTCTTGTATTAAATTATGCTCCCAAAAACACAGACTCAATGCAGAGACCATTTCTTTCTGAGTCCATGTGTAAGCAACTGTATCACTTGTGCTTCCACCATTCTCAAGATTTTATCTTTTAATCTGCTCTTGGCCTGTGTCAGGGATGGGATTCTGGCTTGAAAAAATTCTGACTCATCCACTGTAGGTAAATTCTGTCCATCTTCATCTCCTTGTAACAACTACACTCATGAGCATATCCAAACAGAATTTCAGTGCCAAAAGACTGGGGGGACTTCAGTCCCCAAAAATGGAATAGGAGTGAGATCTCAGGTACTAGCCAGCTTCTGGACTACTTTCCATGATTTTACCAAGGTTTAGAGCAATATTTCATTGCTCTAAACTAGAAAAACATTCTTTCTCCTGCAAAAGCAGACCTTTCTGTCAAATGCTTTGGTGTACAGTTGTGTTTCTTTTAATATATGCTGGAAAAGATAAAAAGCAAATGGTTCTAAATGTGAGGGAGAAACAGCAGCAGCACTTAATTATGAAAAAGTTTCCTTTTAGCAAAAGAAATTAAAAAGTATAACCTCCAATGCAAAACATGTAATGTGTTTTGTAATATGTGGAAATAATAATAAGAGATTAGGAATATTCTCTATAATATTTTTATCTTAACTCTATGTGCTAGTACCATTTCTCCTTTCATTTGAGCTAGTTCATAAGAAAAAAATTTCCTGAAATACATGAAATACTGAAGCAAAACTATTTAATAATGTTTTCAGAATTTTCCTTAATACCTACTTCCCATTTATAATTTTTTCTGGTTTTTTGTTCTTTTATCTATTTGCATTTTTTATTGTGTTTTGTGGAGCAATTGTAAGTGATGCCTGGTTTTTCAAGAAAGATTTTAAGTTTTAGCATAGTAAGAACTTATGATATTTAAAAGAAATTGTTTTAACAAATAGCCTTTTTGAAATAGCCTCTTAATATGTGGGCCATGGAAATTTTACAAATGCATTTGTGACAGAGTCTGACATTCATGCATACCTTGACTAGTAAGTTTCTCAGAGAAGAAATTTATCTCTGTGTAAAGCACTGTTACACTGGCAGAAATGGCACATTTCATTTCTCTTTAACAGCAAGATTTTAAAGCTGCCTTGGGCTCCTGGGCAGTTCCTACGTATTCATATGGGAAGCATCAAGCTGCTCTCACCTTAACTGAACACTTCTGTGTGTTGTAAACCCAGATGTGACAATCCAGGCCACACTCGCTTTCCCTGCAGGCTCTTGACATTCCATGAGCTCCAGAGATCTCTCTGAATAATGTAGAGGCCTTGCTTTTGAGACACAGCCAGCAATTACAGCCAAGGTGAAACTGAAGTTCCAATCACACATCAAGTTAGGCTTGCACAGTGTTTAACCCTCGGTGACTTTAAGGAGTTACCATGAAATTGTTGCAACCGATGTCACTCCATAATCATGAGATTACCAAGAAGTCACAGACGACTTCTTATTTGGTTTTATGCCCTATTTCTTCTAATTAGATCCTGACAGGATTTCCAGTTATTCACAATGTTTTGCTTTACAGCTATGTGCCAGAAAAGTGCTATTTGCACTCAAGTCCCATAGGTAACTGTGTTTGCCAGTCAAAACATTAATGTGGTTGTCTGAGTTTTTGCTTTAATTTTCTGTCTAAAACAGCCTTGGAAGGATAAACTGAATCTTAAATGGTGCATTATAGAAATCCTTATGAAAATGGCTAAGTGCCATAATATGAAATGCATTCATTGAAACATTAGATTTTGTTAGGAAGAGTAAGAAAATAAAAGATCATGGTAGTTTTACAGGTGATTCACAAAACCAAAGCTAACTTCACAAGGAATGTTGTGCAGGATTGTTGTCTCCTCATTTATTCATCTTTATAACCATCTGTAGCTTTAGTCTAAATTAGTAGCATTTATCAACTGTACAATCCCTTAAAAAACTTAGAAAGCAGTTCTTTCTTTTATTAAAAAAGGAATATGGTGAGCTAGTAAGAACTAGTAAATAGTGCAGATTAATTTAGTAATTGCTTTCTTCCTGGGTAATTATGGAGTTTTGAACATATGCACCGCTTACTTTTCAATCTTGTGATAAATTTCTCTTCATTCTTGTAATCATTCTATAGACTTGACCTGAAAATGTGTTCTCCTTTAAGTTAAATATGCAAATCTTGTTGTAATCTTTAAATATAATTTTTATTTATTAATTTTCCAATTAATGAATTAGAAAAAGAAATTTAAAATAAATATTCCCATTAATAAATACAATATGCAGGGTAAAGTGAAACAATTTTTCTTAAATTGTCTGAGATCCTAAATTTTTGATAGACCATATTTGCTATGTAACAGCACATTTTGTGAACCATGAGCTACAGCAGGATCCATATGCTGACCTTCGAGGTAGAATGAAAATCTCCTCATGCCACAAAAATTCAATAGTGATGGCATAAGACACCCAAGAGTGCAAGAAAAACAAAGTCAGCAGCTGGATCTTGGTGCCATAGCAGGAGAATCAGTATAATAGAATGTAATAATAAATCACTTATAGGCTGATGTGTTTATATCAAGCACTTTAAATCACTAATACAGAATTCCTAGAATGCATTTCTTTTTAGTGTGAGGTGTTTGTATTACATTCATTCAAGTAATCTTGGAGACGGTGTAAGATGATTTGCTTAAAATCTTAATGAATTCACCATCATACATCTCGGGAAGTTCCTGTGCCTGGAGCCTGATGGTCTTGCAGATCCAAGTCACCATGCTGCTGATATCCTGAGTACTGAAAGGCACTACAGAGGTAAGATCAATCTCGAGCTCATGAGCCTATGAGAACTTAACTGGTTGATCCTTGATCCACAAAAGGATCCAACGCTGCCTATGAAACATTTATGTCTTCTTTATCTGTTGAAAACTGTGGGTTGCACAGAATTGTTCCCTTTCCCATTAGGATGTCCCAGCTTCCAAGTAAAAGCCCTGGCAGTAGGTGCATGGTCATCTCACTTAGTCAATGGTTATTTCATTCAGCTGCAAGTGAACCATGTAGGTTTGCCTGGAGCTGAACTGTTGAAAGAGGGCTGTCAATATTCATGGTGTGGAGCTAACTATGGTAAGAAATTAAGTCAAACAATGCAAAATTTTTCCAACCAAGAGGGTCATTAAACTATCTGTTACTTATAATTTGGTATTCACATACAATTCTTGGGAAGTTTCAGGAGAGATCCTTGGCTAAGAAGTACCAGAATGTTGGAAGTCAGGTATTTCTCATACTAATTCAGTACAGACTTTCATCCTGCCTGAGAGCAATTTCAAACATGTGACACATTTCTCAAGTTGCCTCTCTTATCACTAGAGTGTAACATGGTCTGTGATAAAAGGTGACACAACTATGAAAGTCATTCTTGCTCAGTTGCCTATATCAGACTACAAGGGCTGGAGCTTTGATGCCTAGCCAAGTAATTGTCTGGGAAGGGGAAATAAATTCCAGTAACTCTCATCTTTCTTACCCTTGCCTGCTGAGAAAAATTCAGCTGCTTATGGTTTTTATCACTTAGCCACTCCTACTTTGCTATATTCCTTTTGTGGAAGTGTTAATAACAAACAAAGCAGTTAAGATGATACCTAACTGTCTGGGGGGAAAAAAGGAAAGAGAGAAATAGTCCAAGTGACAAAACAGCATGTTTTTTATTTAGGGTAGAGCACATTCCAGAGACAAAAGCAGGGTGCCAGTCCCTTAATAGAGTTGCAGCTGGTTTCAAGCATTACTTGCTTTATCAGTATGCGTACAGACACACAAACATACATATTTTGCTGATACAAAATGCTTTCTCTTGAATACTTGTCATTTTGGCTTGATGGAAGTAAAAATTGGTTCATTGCCAGTTGCTTCTATTCGGAAGGTCAGTTTCTTCAGGACTTCCAGTCCACTTCCAGAGAGGGGAAGGTAACAAAATCTAGGTAAAATAAGGTTTCATTTGTGTGTATCTTAAAAAAAATAAATAAACTGAGCAATCTCTGTATTTCTTACCTGTATGGAAGATATAAAAATTATGAATCTTGAATCCTGCAAAGTTAAGTCATTTAATTACTTTCTGACATCTGTGTAATATTTCTACCTGTTAGTGAGCCAGTCCACTGTGGGACAACAAAGATAACATTTCTATAACACAAGGCAGCACCAAACACAGTATTTCAGAATATGAACCATTATAAGAGAGTAAAAAAGAATATATTCTGGAAGATAAGTTGGAGGATAGTCCATTAGTAGCAGTGCAGTTTTCAGTAGCCTGTGTAGGAGAATCCAAGTTCTGCATTTCTTGCAGGTGGGATGGTCTGTTATGGATCTTGCATTCATCATTCCCCTTTTTCTTTCTTGGTCCATAGGGACAGCCATGTACCTCATGGCTGCAGAGCAGGAAGGATGTAGCAAACAGGCAAGTGACTGATGAACAAGGATATTGCGGAGCTGCTGCTGGTGAGTAATAAGAAAACTTGGTCAAAAAGTTCTCCACCACTGTCTTGATAAACTTCTTCTGACCACATGAAATACTGGCCTTAATAAAGTACACAACAAGATTTAATGGTATTAGAATTTCCTGTGGAACATTGGGGAAATTAAGTAACTTGCTCATATTCCTTCTTAAATGTTTTCATCTGACTTTACCTTGTCATATCCTAAGTTCTAGCTATCATCTGCATGTTGACCTATTTTTTCACTCTGTCCATTTTGAATGAGTTTTGTTGGGGTTTTTTTTGTTGTCTTCTCCAGTCAGAACAAATTATTTTGACTTGCCTTGGTATATACAGATCAAAATAAAAGTGAATCTGAAGTCTTACTTCAGAATTCCCAAAGAGATTTTGAATACTCCAAGTCTCATATTTGAATTTGACTCTTGTTATACCCTAGATAGTATTTCAGGAGGGAAACTTCTTTTTACCTCTGTCACTGTGAAGATAACAGGAGCACAGCTATCCAAACTAATAAAGTTTGGCTTGAAATACATCATTTGGCACTTAAAGTATGTAGATTTCAACACTATCCAACAGTTTCATTTTTAGATCCAGCACCACTAAACTCATACTTTCAGTTTTTTAGAAATAAAGTTTGGAATTTCCACAGCCTGTTTTTTTTCCAGTAACAGAAGACTAAGATAAAAAAATAGGGGCTTTTTTCTCTAGTGGGTTTTATTTATTATTAGATGAAATATTTGTTTTTTCTGTGAAGTGGACAATGCCTCTGAATAGAAGAAAATAAGAAATTAGCTATTCTGTCGTCTATGCATGTTATCACACTTCTGTATTATTTTATTTGGCACCTTTGCAGATTCTGGTTGCCTTCAGACTAACCAGACAGGAAGTGTCCTAACTGAGAAGCTGGTGCCTGAGAAAGATAATGGAGGAAGTAGATGCATTTATTTTTACATATGGCATTTAAGAAATTCCAGAAAAGGAAAAGAAGCAGATGATAAAACTTTCTTAAGATTTTTCTTTTTCTTCTTGCAATAGATGACAAGTGAGATGTGGAGTACAATTGTGAGGTGTGATGTGGGTTACAGGGTAATGCGTTGGTGTTCTTTTTGTAGTTAGGTACAAAGTTACAATTCCTGAAACAGACACAACCCTTTAAATAGATGTGCATGTAGATCTCATCCTTCCCATCCGGAGATGAAAATTATAGGGAGTCAGTGATGCTCTCCTCCCCCTCTTGGGGCTATACAGAGATTGTATTATTGTCAGGTGGTGAGAAAGCAGGTGGAGGGAGTCAGGAGAAGCAAAGTTTTGGGGCAGCTTTGGGAACCAAAAACCCAGGTGCTCTGAGGAAGGAGACAATGTATAACCCATAGAGCAGGCTACTGAAGTCACTGAGAACTGAAAATGTTGAGGCTGGCAGATCATTTCCTGCTGTATTAGCCATGTGATCAGCAGTCTTCATACATGTCCTCCAGCTTCATGTTTTTGCAGTTACTTTATCAATATATGACCATATTAAAGGTACTGCCTTGCATGTGGTGCCTGAAGGGCATTCCTTCTTTGCTGATGTGAGTTTTCACTCTGAGATTAGTTCTCATTTGAGTTACAGCACAGTCCTCTGGCTCTTTTTCTTTAGGCACGATCATCCTGCAGAGGTATCAGACACTCTTTGCGTGGGGTGGAAGCTTTTCATCCCAGCTGCTTCTGTAAAGCGTCCAAAACTCTGAGGCTTTCTTTAGTCAGACCCCCAGTGCACATCCCAAGAATATCTTTCCTGAGATGTGTGAGGGCTGTAGTTTGAATGGTGGACCTAAGTATGGACTTGCTGTAACACCTCTGCTATGAGGCTAAAGAACTGCTGAGTCAGACTTTGCTGCATCCTATCACCAGGATGTCAGATCAGATGAGTTTCCTTCTACCTTCTTTTTTCTTAAATTTCCTCTGTCAAAAGGACAGAGGAAATTTCTCTCTCTTCACTATAGATCCTTGGCCATAAATCACAAAACCAGTGATGAAGGTTTTAAGAGTCCAGATTCTGCAAAAGGCTAGCTTTTCAGTTTTCCCCTAATAGCCTCCATAAGACATGAGGAAAAAAATGCAGGAAAAGGTATATAAACATTGGATTAATAACATGTTGGATAACGTGCATTTTTTTCAAATAATTCATTAAGATTTCAAGAACTTGTTATCTCTTTTTCTTAGAAGCTAATAAATGCATCCTATAGGTATTTAATAGGATTGCAGAAGTAGGAGTTAAAGCAAATGATTATCACAGTTCTGAAACAGTTTCTTTTCTTAAATTCCAGATGAATCTGATGTAAATTTTAGTTTCCTGAAGGACACTTGTGTTTTCTTAAGCCAGGCCAAAAATTGTGTTCAGTATTTCCAAACTCTGTTTTGCAACACATAATTGCTTTATCTTTGTTTGTCCATCAAAGCCTTAGAAGTCTCTTTTGATTACTAGATGTATTGAAAAACATGTAGTTACATCCCAGTGCTTAATTCTTTTAATGTTTTTTGCCTTTAGTGTAGTATTCTTATAATACTTGCTTCATTCCACCCCTCATTACACTCTGCATGTGTCAAGATTTCTTCCAGTTGGTACTATAATACTTATCTCACTGTGGATGTAGATGCATCCTCTATTTTACCCCCAGCATCCTCCTCTGTGCTGTTTGAATAAAAAACTAGATTATCTGAACTCTCAAGGTCAAGTGCTAAAACTTGTTAGCTGATCTCTGTTTGTTTCCAGCCAGAACAGACCTGAAAATAACCATATTTGGTGCCCATCTTCCTATTTTGAGGTTGATGCTGAGGAGCAAGAGCAATGTACATATTCTATTTAAAATACAGAGAAGGCTTACATTTGAAGCTGTGTAAAGAGAAAGTTTTTTAAAACTTTTTAGATTTTTGGCAGATTTGTACTTCCTTTAGTAATATTTGTTGGCTAACTCTGCTCTTACCTAAACTGTCTGAGTCTGATTACTCAGTATAGTAGTCCCTCTGGTAAGGATCCAGCTCCAGTAAAGTTAATGGCAGCTGCCCAGTTTAATTTACTGAGACCAGGATCAGAGTTATTTCCTATTTCATGTTATCTGATTAAGGACTTGACTAAAACTTTTCCAGTATGCAGATATTGTCTCCTATGTTTAATTTTTTTTTTCTAGAAACTGATTTCCCAGAAACAAGGAAATAGTGCCATTTCTCTTTCAGCTTAGCTTCTGATGATTATTTAAGCAGTCCAAGCAGAAGAGTTTCATTTCTTGCTTTTCTCTGACTATGATTTAAAAGTTATTTGCAACTTAAGTGAGAGAGTACACTTTCCTTCAACAAGACCATTTTCTCTGCATTAAAATCACATTGTGTAGATGTGTTACTTCCTATCCTGACTAGCTCTTGGATTTTTGGATTTGATAGCAGTACTTCCAGAACAGTACTCTGCTTGCATTTTGTGATACTTAAGAGTGTTTTATTCTTCTTCCTCCTCTTTCTCCACCTCCATCTCTGTCTTCTCCTCATCCTCTTCCTCCTCCTCCTTTTGCTCCTCCTCTAACAAAAAAAAAAAAAAAAGATGATGATAATAAAAATAAAATATTATGGTAGAATCTACTGTAGCGATTTCATTGAATTTTAGTTTTAGTGACTTTTGATTAGGCATTTCTAGATGCTTCAGATTTCCCTGTTTTATTGCCTTCTGGGTAATTCTTGGATTGTCTTGGAGTGGATTTTTCATTTGTTTTTGTGATGATGATGATTATTACTATTATTATTATTATTATTATTATCATCAATATAAACCCCAGCTCCCTCAGCTGCTTCTCCTCAGAGCTGTGCTCCAGCCCCTTGCCCGGCTCCGCTGCCCTTCTGGACGGGCTCCAGCCCCTCGGTGCCTTCCCTGGGGTGATGGCCCCCAGCAGGCACAGCTCTCGAGGTGTGGCCTCACCAGTGCCGAGCACAGGGGCACAATCCCTGCCCTGCTCCTGCTGGCCACACTGTTCCTGACACAGGCCAGGATGCCCCTGGCCTTCTTGGCCACCTGGGCACACCTGGCTCATGTTCAGCTCCTGTCAGTCAGCATCCCCAGGTCCTTTTGCCCTGGGGAGCTTTCCAGCCACTCTTCCGCAAGCCTGTAGTGCTGTATGGGGTTGTTGTGAGCTGAGAGCAGGACCTGGCACTTCACTGTATTGAACCTCATCCCATTGGCCTCAGCCAATTTATCCAGCCTGTCCAGATCCCTCTGTAGTACCTGAATTACTTAAGTAGTTGAATAAATAAACAGCTGAGACTTAGAAACCTTTATCCATTCTTTGCATTCACAGCATTTTCCAACTGAAAATTGAACACTGAAAGCATTATTTTACTTTTTTTCCTAACATCACTGCCTATTAGCCAGCATGAGTTGCCCTCAGAAATATTCCAAACTGGATTTGTATATCCACTGCAAAGTGGCATTGGGAATATTAATTAATTCCATTAATTTGAAGAGTATCAGCCTGAGTCAAGCTGATTAAGTCAGATCTCCAGACTTCTGTTATCTGATGTATTCCTTCATTTTTAGAGATCAAAAATACTTAGGAACATGACTAACAACACCTCTGAAACTGGTAGCATAGTTTTCAAAGGAAATACTGAGTCATGTAATGTTATTTACAGAGCTGAGCATTGTTGGAATTGTTCTGTAGACTCAATCCCACAAAAATATTTTCATTAAAAACAAATTTTAATAACTTTTTTATCTGAGATATAGTTACTTTCAATTACTTGGACTTACGCATGTTCTTTCATTTTATCAATTGTTTGCAGGATCAGATCTGAAACAGATTTTTTCAAATGTAGTAGGCACTGTATTTGCAAGCGTTACTATTTATTTTCCTGGGCTGTCACAAAAGCAGCAGAGGGCGCTGAGCCAACGGACACCGCCTGATATGGGTGTTTTCCTCCCTGCTCTGGATTTTCCCGTCCAGGGATTTCCCACTCTGCCTTTATAAAGAGCAAGCTGGAGCTCTTGTAATAAACTGTTGCAGAGCAGCAAGATCTCACAGTGCTTCTTCACAGAAAATAGAAAGTAAACTTTTGAATTTACTTTCTTTATCTAGTAACAGCAATTATAAATGTTTAAAGAGATGGGAAGAACAAGCCAGGCTGTGCTAGTAATTTTGTGTGTGTTAAGGACTGGTAAGTTGGGGAAGGTGGGGGTTGGTGGTGCTTGTTTTATTTTTTAAAACTTTGTTACATGTAAACTGACCTAAAATTTACTGTTTGATCTTTATTTCTCTTTTCTCCAGTTACCTTTTCATTTCAGTGAATACAACTGTCAAGTAGTTCTGTCAAAATGTCAGGAAGCTTTTTTTGGCATTTACTTTGAGCTTTTCTGTGCTCTGCAATGACTCAGTCATTTTGCTATTGAGTTTGCTAAAAGACAGTCTAGGAGACAACTGCAGTATATCACTGAATGCTTGATTTTTTACTGTCATTCCTGACAGTAGCAGGCAAGTTTGGAACTAAATGTCCTGTTGAAAGTGTTTCTGCTGTTGTCTTTGCTATCTTCCTGCTACGTCTCCCCTCAAATGTTACAAAGTTTTAGAACCAGATCCACCTGACAAAAAATGTATATTGTGCTAATACATTTATTTAAATTTGGTTGATGCAATTTTATATATGAAAACTGTCAGTCATCTGAGTCTGTATTATCTTTGACAAAAATAGCCATGTTTATGGGGTGTTTTGAATATGTAAACCACTGTATAAGCTTTATCAGTTTAACTACCACACAACCATAAAGAAATTAAGCATAAAGTCCTCATGTCACAGTAGAATATGAGAAGAAATAGGAAGATAAATGTTGAGAAAGCTGCTAAATTGATGTGTGTTTTCCCTTTTGTAGTTAAAGCTTTTGAAATGGAAATTATACCTGCTGAGAGAATTGTGGCACAGATTGGAGACACACTTGTACTCACATGCAATACTACTGGCTGTGCATCACCAAGTTTTTCCTGGAGAACACAGATGGACAGCCCCCTTGGAGGAAAAGTCAGCAACCACAGGACATATTCTACATTGACTATGAATCCAGTTAGCATTGTGAATTCTCATTCTTATCTTTGTACTGTCATATGTGATGAGAGAGGGAAAAAGGAGAAGAGTGTCAAAGTTGAACTTTACTGTAAGTAAAAATGTAAAATTCTCTTTAAATAGTTCTCTATGTTGATAGAGAACTCACTAATTGTTTTAGATATTGTGGTTATCAGTTAACTTTTAATTCTAGGATAATGAGTGTTATAGCTCAACATATACTTCCTTCTGAGATTCCTTTATATGCCTGTTCAGGACACTTTCTTAGCCCTTTTCTGCTTTCTGCATTGAAGATTGTATGTACTAGTATTATTTATTCTTGTTTTTGGTAATTCTTAAAAGCCAAAACAGGCACTGCCTGAATGCATTCCTAGAGCTGGGGAAATAAAAATCAAAGCCTTTGTAGTTTGCAGGAGAATAATTCACATGTCTAAACCTACCAGCACAGAAAACAGGATAGCACTAGTGTATGGATTGCTCTGAATGGCTGTAGTTAAGCAGCTGTATCACTGCCTAGGTGCCATGCTGAATTTTGCTAATCTTTTGTGATCATGTTTCAACAATTGTACAAATAAACTTCCTGTTAGTAAATGTACTGCTGGTAAAGGACCTGTAGGTCTTCAGATCAAGATGTGGCTTGTAATAATGTTGATAGAGTGTCATGTTCTGACCACCTCTAAACTCAAGATATTTGGTGTCTGGATCTTGCTCTTATGTTGACCCTACTGTTCTTCTCTACTAGTCTAAAGAAATTGATTTTATTCTTTTAGCTTTCCCCAGTGATCCTATCATTGAGATCAGCCCATCCTTAGTTGCTGGAAAACCAGCCACTGTCACCTGTAAAATTCCTGACGTGTATCCTTCTGATCACCTGGAAGTTCTCCTAAAGAAAGATGAACATGTTCTTCATGAGAAATATTTTTTGGAAGATGACAGCACAAACACAGAGACCAAAATTGTGACATATACATTTCATCCCATGGCTGAAGATGCTGGGAAAGAGATTACCTGTGTGGCCAGGTTACCAATTGCTGATATGGATTTTGAACCCAAAGAAAGAACATCTTCTCAGAAACTTAATGCAAATTGTAAGTATTTTTGTACAAGGGCTTTTGCTAGTTCAGCTTTCAAAGCTGCAAGCAAAACGTCTTAGTAATTCTGGAAAAATGGTCCCACTGTGCTACTGGGATACATATTTTTCTTTTTTTTTCTTGGTATTCTGTGACATGTACTTCTAGAAAAGCTAGTGTTAGAGATGTGCATGTCATTCTTCATTTACACACTGATCTTGTCTTCCTTTTGTTTTCTTACAGTTGGTCCACAAAATACTGTCATTACTGCATCTCCAGGCAACTCACCAATGGAAGGAGACTCTCTGAACCTCACTTGTGTGACTCAAAGTAACCCACCAGCACAAATAGTTTGGAGTAAATATTTGGCTGAAGAAAGCATTCAGCACCTGATAAAAAACAATGTTCTTTCTATTCCCCATGTCCATTTCAATGATTCAGGACAGTACATCTGTGAAGTAATTAATCTGGTAACTAATAAAACAGAGAAAGCAACTGTGGACATTATTATACAAGGTACAAGTCTGTTTGAGTTTCACTTGTATTATCCAGTACCTAACTGGCTGACCTCTGTTAGGTTGGAGGATGCTGAAACACTGAAAATTAGGAAAATATGGGGCTTTCCTTGTTACATATTCAGGATTCAGCTTCAATTTGAGGCTGTTCCTCATGTGCTGTAGTTTTTCTTTCTATATTGAATTTGCAGCTAATTCTCTTAGTACTGCTGTTGTGCATACACATTTCAATACGTTTCCCACAATGCTACACTAAAAGTCAGAAAAGAGTCTGAGAAAGTGGTGGGGACACGCACACTGTTATTTCTGTGAAATGTAATGTGCATACCAGTTTCACAGGGACATCACAGTCTCCTTCTTTGAACTAATAGTTTTAGTCAGTAGCATTAAATTTAATAGGCATTTAATGGTAAAACTGTTTTGGACGTAATAATATTATTGTTGTTGTAATATTTTGTGATTGATTGATTGATTGATTGACTGCTACTGCTTTGACAGACCCAAAAGTCTTAGATTGAGTCTGGGGTCAAAACCAAAATAAACAGATCCTTGAGCAAGCAGTTCTTGCTTTCTTAAAACCTTCTCCATTTTTGGTACCTTTGCATTGCTCTAACAGCCTTTTCTTTTGTCATGCAGGTGCTCCAGTCATTACAAAACTCTCCATTGAACCTTCTACAACAGTTCAGGAAGGAGAAAATGTTTCCATACAATGTTCTGCTGAAAGTAACCCTCCTCCCAAGATTATTTTAAGGAGAAAATCTGACAATGCAGACACAGGGCGTTACAATGCCAGGAGTATTCTTTTTCCATCTGTGATGTTCCAAAATGGAGGAGACTATGAATGTGTAGCAGAAAATAAGTATGGGAACAGTAAAAGTGAAATCACTCTTAATGTGAAATGTAAGTATGTGTAAAGTTTTCCCAGTCATTTAAAAATAATTAGATCTTCAGTGATTAAATATAACCATCAAATTAAATGAAACCCTGTGAGAACAAAGAATCATCATAGTCCTCTGCTTTTCCCAAAGAAAGGAGCATGTTCATCAGCATGAACAAAACAAAGTCACAAAATCTTTAATGCGAGGACAGTCTTTAGTGGAGATCTGAATGAGTGAGAAACTGATCTCCACGCTTAGAAGTATTTGGTTAGACTGTCTAGGCTATGGAGGGTATGTCCAGAAACTCTGATACAGTGTGCTTTACTTTTGTTATGAGAATAAAAAAGAAATTAGCTTTGGGAGGGTGACAATCTACTATCCAATAAGACGTGTTGCATCCATCTCTAAAAAAATCCAGTGATGATTAACTATAGGACTCTTCCTTTCAGATGGACCAAAGAATACAATGATCACAATTTTCCCTACTGCTGCTCTTAAAGAAGGAGAAACTGTAACAATGAAATGTACTAGTTCTGGTAATCCAGCTCCTGTGATCTCCTGGAAGAAAAAGAAGGCCACCGGGGAGTCTGAGAAAATTTCTGAAAATGCAACTATAACTATACGGAACTTGAAAAGCCAAGATCTGGGGCTTTATGAATGTGAAGCCTATAATCAATTTGGCAAGGAAGAAAAAGCTGTGAAGTTATATGTTCAAGGTTTGTAGAACAAGACAGAAAACAAGTTTTTTTGTTTAGGTATTTTAGGTCCAGATCTTCTTTTTGAAGAATGAGGTAATTTTGTCTTTGATGTCAGTAGAGTTAAAAGGTGGCCCTAATGTCACTAAGTGATTTAGGAAGCTTTAAACAATGAAGTGTGAAGCCTGCCTTAATACAGATAGATTATGAAAAGTTCTTAAGTCGGTGGGGCTTCCATCACTCCTTCCAGCTGCCAAGTGTATTTGTGAGGTAAAGAAGGTATGTAGTGCCTGGGAGGAAATATCCTTCCAACCAGGCCTACCAGTGGATATATGCATAGGAAAGATTTAAGGAGACAGTACGAGCTGAAGCTGCTCTATGGAAGCAGCTCCTTGCTTCTTCCCTAAGCTTCAACTCTGTTTCCTGCTCTTACAAGCTGCATTTAAGCTACAAGAAATGCTGATTCCCCAACTTAGATGGAATGATAGCGAAGTTTCATTTTCAATAGTAGTCAGACTTCTCTGCTTTAGCTCTGCTGCTTCTGCCTATTGCATAGCAACAGTGTCTTGCTTAGGGATCACTTCTGCCACCAATTCAGCTCTCTTCCCTGTTCTTTACTATTTGTATAGCTGCACCAAAAAATACACTTTTGATTTCCCCTTCAAGCAAAGCGAAACAAGGACGAAGCGTTACTACTCCTTGCATATCTGCAGATGTTACATCTCTTAGGACTAGCCTGTAAAAGAAAGTTGGTGATGGGTTCACAACCCTTGAAACAGTAGATAGAAATATACCACAGACAGGGCTCAGCTAAGGGATGCAGGAAAACACACATGCATACTGTTAATGAAGTGGGGGAGCAGTCTCAGCACATAGTACTTATGTCGAAGGTTAGTTAATATAACTGCTGTGCAGAGCTCATACAAGGATTTGTCTTACAAAGAGTGACATCTTCAGTTTCATTAACAATGGTCTTTAAAAAATCTGACATGATTTGCATAGGCTCTTGTCATAAGTGATAGGGTCTTAATGCTAATGAAAATTTCTGTCCAAAATAGCAGATGCATAAAATAGTTGCTGCTTCAAATGTTTTTTGTATTTCTACTTCATCTTTTGAAAACAGGATATAAAATTGCAGAACCTTGTGAAAAAAAAAATGCAGCTCTAGGACTCCTTCCTCTGCTTTTTCTATTTTTCTTCTGTTGAAAGAGGACATAAGCCTCTGGGTTTGTTTGTCTGTGCCCTTTCATGAACTCAAACAAATAAACTATGAAATAAGAAAAGAGAGACTCCATATAATGTAAAAATTATGCAACATACTCTGTCAATTGATAAAATGTTCTTTTTGCCAGCTGCTGTTGGCTTCAGTGGTGAAGGATAGCTGGTGGCAGAGCAGTATGGGCTAAAGGTCTAAAGCTATGGGATCAGCTACTCCAGTGGGCCCATTAACTGGATTCGTATTTTGCATGTAAAAGCTGCTGATGCCTCATGAGTTTTGCTTCTGTTTGTTGCTAAATCCTATCTTGAATTTCTTTTTAGTTCCTCTTCAAAATATTACTGTATTAATATATCCATCAGAAAATGTTAAAGAAGTAGAAAATATCACTGTTACATGTAGCACATACACCCTCGGAGATGGTCCTGAAAAAAAGCCCATCAGGAGAAATCATTCTGCCATCAGTGAATGGAAACTTTATACTCTGCAGTGTCACCAAAAATTATACAAGCATATACGTCCTTCATATTTTCAGTAAGGCTGGAACAGCATTACAGAGATTCAGATAGCTGTTGTAGGTAGCTGGGTCTATTGCCTTAAACCTATATTTTTTGTATGTTTTAGTGAAATTTATGTCAAGGTGAGCGCAACTACTTCATAGCTGATCCTTGCGTGGAAGTACGGTGGTTAACCTGAAAAAAAACCTCTCACCCAAAATCAAACCAAACAACCTGGTCAGATAAGCTGTATCTTAACCTCCTTTCAGTGTGGCTGTCATTGTCTCTCTTAGATGAGTTGGTGTGGTAGCTTTAAGGATAGGGCCACAAAAAGGTGATTCTTGGCTGCATTTCTGTCCACATGCTTGGACAATGAGACTAATCCAGAGAACATTGTGTTTCACAGAAAATCTAAATATTGAGATTTTAAAACATGGTCTTCCCCGTGAAGAATGAATTTCAGGATGTTGAAATGTACCAAAATGTTTCCTGGGTATAATATGTGATATTCCTCTTGTATTCTTGGTGAATTTCATGTTATTCCTCATTACAGATGATATCAGGTAGGTTTGAACTTGAATAGCAAATTCAAGACCAAGACAGTGGCTAGGAATTAAAATATGTAATATGAAGCTCTAAAGAAAAAAAAGTAAAGGAAATCTCAAAAAGTATGCTTTGTGCATGAAAACAGAAATATGTTCCAAATGAAGGTCATTAATAAAACTCCTTTTACAGTGATGCACATGTATCTGTTTCAAACAATATTTACACTTTTTTTTCTCCTTTTGTCTCCATTTTCAGCAAGATTGGAAGAACCAGATCAGATGATACCATTGATTATTGCATTCTCATCTGTAGCAGCAGTAGCGGTACCTGCAGTTGCAATTTTGATCTACGTGTCAAGACAAGCAAAGATCAATGGATCCTACAGTCTTGTAAAAGCACTCAGGTTGAAAGTTTGATCACGTGAATATAAGTCTTTAGTTGATAATAAGCACATTTATTTATTGCTGTGACTGGTTCTACTCTTCTGTAACATATGGTAACAAACAAGTGACTTAAGAACAGCACCACGTGATAGCAAATGGGCTTATTTTCATGTTTTGATAAGTGTTTTGGTATTTAAATTAAAGGAAGAGATAGAATCCTGACCTAGAAGTTGATAAATCATTTCTGTGTTGAAGCATTCTGAACAAAGAATTCTGTGAAGAACTAGGTTTGTACATAGTGTATAATTTGTGTTATAAATATGTTCAACTAAATATCAGTTTGTAAAACTGAAGTCTTATTGCAACTGTACAGAGGAATTTTTTAAATTCAAATATATAAATCAATATTGCTTGAGCTGATCAGGTGATTTTTATTTTGTATTACTCTGCAGCATGAATGTTTTTTAATATAATTTGTCTGGTTGTGGTAATGTTTGGAAAATGTTCTCATTTCACTGATATTGCCATAAACTCTGTACCTTCAATGAAGTTACACAATCACTGGGCTATGCATTTCTAACAAATTTAAACTAATTTAAGCCTTTGAGGCTCATTTGCAAAACTTTTTATTTTAAATATTATTCAAAAAATGTCTGGGGTTATAATCCTGTGAGTTCTAGCACTGCTAAGGTATTCTTGCTGGCTTCAATCATTCTCAGATCAGTGTCAGAATTCCATTATTTTGTGATGAGCCATATCAGACTTTCTTGTAAAATATAAGGGCATTGTAAATATGCTTTACAGATTTCCACTGCAAAATAAAACTACCAGTAGATGTCTTTGACTAAATCCCCCTACTGATGCTTGTTTAAGATAATGCCAGAATACACATTACTCTGGAAGGAAATTGTCCTTGGCAGCAGCAGTTGTGGGTGTCACAATGGGAAAGACACAAACAAGGCCGGCAGCCTCACGGCATAGGCGGGGGGCACAGGCAAAATCTGTGCACCTCAGTGATGGTGGGTGAGCTGTTGCCTGAAGAAACGCCCTTCCCAAGCTCCTCACTGTGAAAATCTAAACCACATGCTTGACAATTTCCCTTTTAACAGAGAGCTGGTGTCTGCACGCTTCACTCTGCTTGGCACCACACACTTTCCAGAGCTGGCAAAATGGCTGTGGAAATAGTGAACTTCTGGTGCAGAAGCCAAGATGGAGGGCAGGAGAGGTGGAATTTGATAGTATTCCTCCTTACCTCCCTTCTCCTGACTAGCAGCGGTGCTTTCACTGATCTGGGTGCTGATGTTCAGCACCGAAGGCAAAGTTGTGGGAGGTGCAGGCTATGTGGCTGAGATGTTGAAATGCATCCTCATGCACTGTGGCCAGATCCACTGTGCTAGGCAAGGAAGGTGGGCCTGGCCCCTCCAAACTTGCACACAAGAAGCTCAAGCAGAGATTTATGAAAAGAATATGTCTTTACATTATACACATGGTGACAACTGCTGCCAACAGCAATGCAAATGTGGGTGCTAGCTCTGGGATGAGGCTACCTCTGGGATGAGGCAGTTGTGCACATGTCCCATATTTTTTCATAGTGTGTTCAGCAGTGTTTTGTGCACAGTAAATCAGTTCATGCAGGATGTCTATCTAGATTGGAAAGGGAGGCTTGGAAGGTGGGGGTGTAGCAGAAAAATGGGAGAGCAGTGTGGACTTGGCTTGGAGGAATGTGAACATGCAGTAGGAGGGTGAAGAAAAGATTGAAGACAGAGGAGGAGGAGAGCTTTGACAGGCCTATGACATAAATTTCTTGGAGGTGGTGCCAGGCATATTTATTCAGAATAATGTCAGGCCTGTCTCAGTGCTGTCTTGTGAATAAACCAGAAAGCATGATTTTTCCACTGTGCAAAATTTTGGTGCACACACGTTTTGCCTAATCAGTGAGGTTCTGGTGTCTGTATTGCAGGACGGATAGCTAGGAAAGATACAGGGAAGGAGGTCTGGAAAACAGGACAAATAAAAATGCCCGGGACTTTCCAGTTTGGAGAGAGAATGCTGAAGGAGGAGTTCTGACTGATGTTTTCCAAATTGTGAAAGCAGTTGATGGCAAACAACAGATGCAAAACTGTTTGCTAAAACATGCAATTCCAGAACAACAGGATATTCAAACTAAGGATAAAGTGTTTTAGCAAAAAAAAAAAAAAAAAAAAGAACAGTGCTTTTTCACAGGGTGAATGTTAATCTACTGGAAGCTGCTGCAGAAGGTCAGGGGAATAACAGTATCAATTGGTTCAAAAGCAGAATGGAAAAAATAATGGGCTAAAGGTCCATAAAAAAACCAAAAGGGAGTAGACAGAAATGTACTGTATAACATCCCTTGTTGAATGGCCATTGATGCTGAGCAGTCCTCAGGATACATACCAGAGAAAGTGGCCAGTGTATGACATCCTGAAATAGTGTCTTTCACTGCTCTAGACATCCTGGGGTTGGTGGGGTACTGGTAAGACCCACCAAGGTATGCCTTGCCTTCTTACTCCTGCTCTGAGCAGCCTTGGGCCAGACCTTGCAGAAAGGGCATAAAAGTTCCTGTGCTGTTTTTCCCCCTACTGTGGACTGAGAAGATGGAAGATGGGTGGGAGAGAAATAAGAGCCATCTTGCAACAGTGCTTTGTGCTTGAGTAGTCGTTACTGGAAATTCCTCCACAAGTTTCCAGTACTCTTCCAGCTGGTGGTTTTGTCAGTATTTCTGATACAGATACAGATGTTAATTTCCTCGTGGCTTGTCTGCCCTCTCAGGACCTCCATTAAGGTGTGAAGTGACTTAAGTCAGTAGTAATTGCCCCTTGATTTCAACAGGGCCAGCTTTCTCCCCAGAAATGTTAAGTGAATAGAAAGAATTTCTAGTGTCCCTTTTAGGAGAGAGTGCTCTTGTGTTGGCAGTGAGCTTCCTAGCAGTGAAATCAAAAAGTCTTGCCAGGGGATTTCCTGCCCTACTGTCTGATTCTCGGTATTTTCCAGGGAACTTAAATGATATCAGTACAAGCTTGTCCTATGAAGGTTTAAAGTTCACAGTCAAATAACTTCTCTTTTTATTTAAAACTACAGAAGGAATATTGCTTCTCCTTACACAGTTTCTCATCTCTCATCAAGCAACTTGCAGAGCCTCTGCCTTGGCAAAAAGTTGTGAACAGGAGCTCCAGCCCAGCAAGTGGTTTCAGAGCTGCCTGAAGGTCTAGGTAAGAATCTGTGCCAGAGGGCCTGTCTTTATGATCAAAAAAGTGGTCTGTAAAGCAAAGAGCTGACAGGTCCTCTCAGGTTTTCTCTATAAAGTCACTTCACACATTATAGATTTGCATTTTCCCCTGTCTGATCTTTGCTCAAGCATAGCTTTGTCTTTTCCTCTTCAGGAGTTTAGCCCAAAAATACCACTGGGCAATGCTCATATGAGTCAGGATTTTAATAGGTGATTGCAAATTCTCACTCCCTGAAGTCAGTTCAGGATGTGTTCTTTCATGAAAAGCTCAAATAGGAAAAGATACATATTTTAAATATCTCCAAGAATGCTTTCAAATAATTTTTTTAGGTATACTGAAGGGGACAGTTAATATATTCCATGAGAGAGGTGCTGTTATCTCTTGGAGATAACACTGGTGACCTTGCATTTGAAGAAGCAGGCTCCTCCTGTTTTCAGGGACTAGCAGGGCCTGATCAGGATATTTAAGGCCAAATGATGATCTGGTGTCTCTGAATGGGGCAGGCCATTCAGCTCCATGGACTTGCTGCTGTGCTGGACCACATAACTTCTTTAAGCAGAGTGTGTTCCCCTATGAGGGATCTGATCTGGAAATTCCTCACAGAGAGTTTGCAATTGTTATCAGTGGTGCCCTGCCTGTGATATATACGTGGCCTACTTCCTAATCCAATTTTTCTGTCCTTTTACACCATTCTACCCAAATGATGATTGCATGCTGTGATCAAGTAATCTCTTATTTCTTTGGTAAACTAAAGACATAGGGCTGTTGGAAGCCTACATTTAACAGGCCTTTTCTACAGCAGTAAATAATCCTTGTATTTTCTTCTAAATCCCCTCCAGCACTACACGTACCTTTTAACACGAGGCAAAAAAAAAACTTTGTCAAACCAACCAGTCTGAATTTTATCTAGACCATGCAACTTAGCAATCAAAACCTGACAGAGTTTTTGACACTGTACTCAGTTTGAAGGCCACTTCACATTTAAGGAAGTGAGAGGAGTGGTTATATCAGGGAAACTCCCTCTCTTGTTCCATTGTTGTGAAGCTCAACAGCCTTTAAGCCTCACAATCTGTTGGGATCCACATACTGTATATCCTGCCACAAAAGTGGTGCAAGTTATGTTACCAGAAATATGGAAATTCTTGTGAAAAGAGTAATGTGCTTTGCTGTTAGCTCCAGGCATCTTAGTGGTGTTTTGTTCCAAGCACCTGGGTACCTGCCAGGTACAAAAGCAGGGGATCTCCTGCCTGTCCCTCTGTCCTTCTCATCTGAGGAGTCCTTCTGGTGCTGCTGAAGTACACAGAGTGGCCAAACATGTGACTGTGAGATACAGGGCTGGGAAATTCCCCTTGTTTACGAGGTCCTTGGTTCCTCTCACTGGTTCTGCTATGTTTAAGGCTCATTGCAAATGAAACAAGAGAAACAGTTTTTTGGCAGGTTGAAAATTTACCCTTTGGGGGCACCTATTACTTTTTGCAATGCAAAGAAATTGGAACATTTAAATCTGAATATTTATTTTTTCAAAATAAAAAAATAAATTTTATAAATAGATGTGATAGGGGGGTCTGGGACTTGGTACTTATGTGACTTGAAAGAGCACAACAATTACCTTTTTTTTTAAATTGCAGTAATAAATACTATATCCATGTGTTAAAAGAGACAGGAGCATATGAGGAATGTAAGAAAGCAAGATCATTTTACTGTAATCCTCTTTGCTGTGCATAACTGTAAAAGCTAAAATGTTCTGTCCTAATGCTGCTGTTTTTTTCTCTTAAATATTTTTCCTTTCCTTTTGAATGAGAGGCAGATATGGAACATCTGCTCTCAGCAGCCGAAAGAAATGGTGGCATATGATGTTCCAACACAGATGTCATGTCTTGAACACTCCCACATATTTCCAACTGTTATATTTCATGTTGTTCTTTCGTATTTATTGGAGATTTCCAGAGATGGAAAATATCAGTTTTACAGTGATGTAACTTTGAGACACTGTTACCAGTTGAGCCACAGAGCCTCTTTGCTAGTCAAACCTGGTGGATTAAACTAGCTTTTTACATTCTCAAGCACTTGGTGTACAGGGCAGAAAACAGCACTTGACCCTTTGGCACCACTGCTAACATGCAGCTGAATAGACTTCAGAGCATAGGGCTGTAATATTTACTTGACTTTCAATGTGCTCAAACAACAAAATATTACCACCAATGGTGCATTCATTTGCTTGTTTCAATATCAGGAATGCATATAAAATAGAGTCAAAACACAACTGCACTCAGTTTTTTTAAATGACATTGAAAAACATATCTACTATTTTTTTTTTGTTTATTTCCTGTTCAACTAAAATTGAATATTTTGTCTCTTCATTTATATCCAGGCATCAAAACAGTTGAATGAAGCAAGACAGCATGATTCTTCACTGTTGAATAATCATTCAGGCACTCATATCTGAAAACCATGCAGAAATAAATATTTTAGTGAGCTAATTTAGGTTTTGTAGATAAACTCTGGGAAAAAGGAAAGAAAATTTCCTTCTTACAAACAAAATGAAGTTCCAGCACCACGTTGTTGTTGAGGCT